ATCGAACATGTTGAACTGCAAGAAGAGTCACGAGTATCGCACACATTCGGACAATTGAAAAATAACAGCTTTTATCAATTAATGTTAAATGGAATTTAAGCAACCCTGCTTTTACACAAATTGTAAGTACGCATAATATTTAAGTTTTCGAGTATGACTGCAATGATTGCAAGCGAATGATGAACGGGAATTCTTGGTGGCATCGGCAACGAAGCTAATGAAAACAAGCATTGAATAACCATGGCAACGTCGTTGATGGTGGTGTGATAAATACTGGAGGAATGTGTAGGGTGTCAGCTAACGTGGGCGATTTGATGAATTATATTGATTTGCAATTGCGGTTCTATGGCAACCAACGCATGTATGGGGAATGTCAGTTATTAAATAATAGAGTAAGCCCCAATACTTGAGTTGAAGTGGTCATGTCGGAAGATCAAGAGAAAGAATTTGTCAATTCTGCTAAAAGCCAGTGCTCCAAATATGTGGTTATTTTGTTAATTTCTTTATTTTTTTCTGATTTTTTTTTCATTTAATTTTAACTTTTCGTTTTACGCTTTTGTTCAGTCTTGACTGTAACAATCGTCAGAACAGCAATGCCATTAAATAAAAATTACATATATTTAAAGAAAAACAATTTAAAAGACTGAAAAGAATCTAAATCTGTCTAAATGTAATTATGTAGACGTGGTCTATGTACGCCTAGTACATATCTAGTTACGTTCACATCGAAACATGTTGTAACCTATTGATTCAGTAGCGATTCAAACAATATCAACTTGCAATACAATAATACTCTGTAGATTTAACAGAGAACGAAAAATAGGTTAACAGCTGAAAATGTAAATACTGTTCATATGTTTTCGTTATATCGGTTATTGAATATTAATATACAATTAGTCTATAGTACAATACATACGGTAAATAGACCCGATTCGAATTTTTAATTAAATTTACTGCTAAATTAGTAGGCGGTTTACCCCAAATCAGCGATTAACAATAACGTTGTTTATTACAAAATCCTTCGCTTGAAAAAAAGTCTAAACTCAACGCACGGTTTACTTAGCTTTTATCTCATTTTCGGTAATATTTCGTTGAGTAATTTACTATCATGTTCATGTTTTTGACGACATGCGCTAGTAAACTTACCCCAAACAATTGTCGGTTTTCGGGTATTTTGCGTTGAAAATTCACCATATATTGTTCACTACCTATGCTAGTAACTTAATTCGAGTAATTTCGAATATAACTCTGTCAAAATTGAAAGAGTAGAACAAATGTTGTATAGTATTGTCACATTGTAATTCCACGATGTCATTAGGGCAGTCTTGACAAGTAACCAGGTTCATTCGTGACACACCGCGTACGAGACTATCAAATTCGGGGTGAAGGTCAGACCGTTATTCTATTTTTAACCGGTACATCCATTTTAATTAAGCTAATATGCAGCACGATTGGACGATAAGGATGGCAAAATCAAACATACGCCGTGAGTAAGGTATTCAACTCCACTTAAAGGGTCTAGTATCACGTAGTTTCATTTTACACAGTAAGTGTCATTTTTCGAATCATAATAACGGAATTACATGAGGGACGTATTGGCATAGCAGTTTGCGGACTTACCTAGCACTGGATCCACGGCGTTGCCACGGACAATTCATTAAAGATGGTATCTGAACGAGAATATGTAATTTTTAATATTGAGTTCATAAATACATTGGATTATGATTTATATGACATGAAAACGCTGTTCTTATAGAACAGATCTGAATTCTTGTTCGAAGAAATAATGACATTATTTGGTGCGCATGCTCCACGGTTGTTTTGATGCGTACAACAATCAATGCACATGCGCATTCGTGTTTTTGATTTGTCATCTATCAAATACAGTACTTTGTGCCATGTAAGAGCAATATAGTTACAATCCCAGTGGGTCTATAGTATGAATTATCGAACAACAGCATTAAACATGTTTTTTTTTAAATCCAATAAATGTATGGCTGTAGGAATACTCGCCGTGTTACTCGTTGTGTTACAACCTCGAACAAAAATGAACTTTCGAATGCTAATATACTTCCGTAACTTGTTTCTAACTTTATTAGTGAATGTATAACCATTGTGTTGATGGTTGTCAGTTTCGTAACATTGTAGACAAACGGTAGACTTTGTGTCACCGAAATATACATCACGTACTTCACATGTGGGTGATCATCAATTACCCGGAAACACGGGGCATATTTTGTGAAGTCAATTTCATGTGTGGTCACAATACTTTAAAGCGGGCGAGTCGTCACCTGCACATGCGTCAGATGGTAATAGCGTGTCATTGTTCACAAACAAGCGTTCACCCATGAGCCTTTGCGTTTTTAGTCCTCATTTCCACATTTCAATATAAATTCAACTTAACTGTTACATGCACCATATTTTCAGTGCCAACATTGTGTAATTTAGTACACCTGCTCACACAATAAAACGAGTTTACTGCTGACGTAAGATTAGCTTCATTCTCATGCCTGTAAATATATTTTTAAAAATGGCATAATTTATTTATCTATGCAACGTATTAAATTTGGGTCGCGCAAAGCATCGTGGGTACGACGGACCCAGAAAGCAGATCATAAAAAAGTCGTGTAATTCTAGTTCTTTGGCTTCGAGCTGATAAAATAAAAACACTTTAATAGTTATCCCCCGTATTTCGTCATGCTCGCCCCAGCAAACAAGAAACATTTCGTATGAACGCCGATTGTTATCGACTTCGGGAGTTAAAAGGTAGCGGGAGTCCGTCTAATCGAATAGTGTTTACAAATGCTAAGAGCTGCGGTGGGGACAGACGAACCTCGAAAGATACAACGCCAACGGGCATAACGTACTCCGTGCATACATATACAGCATCGTTTTGTATGTTCTAATGCGTCCTTGAAATGCAAACCTCTTAAAACAACATTTATCCGTACAAATAGTGTATTATTATGCCTCATTCTATGATCCCATTTTTTCCTCAACTTTCTGCTTCAGACGTTATTTTCTTTTTTTTGATTGAAATAACCTTCATTTCTCCTCATCTAATGGAATGGCGGTATACTGTATATTATAGTCCATTTGTTCTGTCTGGAGAACATTAAAGGTTTCAGTCTGACCTAAAGACGTCGGGAACCATGATGAGAATATTGATTTCGGCAAATGCGTAATAGGATGTTCCCTGTCGCATGGCATATATAACGTACGAACAGAACCCAAGTTGGATATATCAGTACACTCCATTATTTATATATATTGCCGGTGGGTTACAAATATCTAGCGGAAATATAACCAAAGTTTTCCGAAAAAATATCTAAGATCCGTAACTAGCTTGATACTAGTAAGTAGCCTTAGAGTGTGAGCGTCAAACCGACCGCGATTCTGCGCAGGTCAATTAATCTAATCGTTTGATTGCGTTTTTATATTTCTTTGTACGTGGCATTTTTCAAACCTGGCGGCACTGCATTTGCATGTGGTAAAAATCCCTTAAAAACCCAATATGTAATTATCCTGCCTTGCGCGTTTCAACACGCAATTTATGTTGAAATTATGAAACGATAATCGACCTAACCTTGAATCACCTCATTTGCACGTATCAATTATTGTAAACGAGGTACATTAAATAAACATTCCCTGCGTTTGATTATTCGTAACGCTAAGAGCTGTCCATGCTGCCTTGGGTCGATACGATAATTACGGAAGTGTTGGTTTCGCAAATTGAAATGGATACCAAAAAACGGTAATTGTAGCATATCGTTGATCACTTCAATCACCGCGTATATTTGAGATGTTTCTATGTAATTTGAATTCCCAGCAGGAAGGAAGGTTATTCTAAGCTTTTAGGTTCCAGCAGTATAAATAATTACGTTTGTTCTGGTTGTAGGCGTTCTTGGGACATTGTTAGTTATAATCGAAACGTGACCCTTATGGTTTCGGATATGCAAATTGGCTGAGACATCTGAACATTGCCATTTGATACAATAAAATGAGACACAGTGCCGATAAATTAGCAAATCGGGCAGAATTTCTGAGATAATTATCAATGTTTATGCCCACGGGCACATTTATTTTGTCTTTTAATGGATTAGGAATGGCTCAGAAAACGTTAGGTAAAGCTTTTCAAGTTGATTGCATGGTTCTCCGTTTAATGTATTTCTTTTAAATATAGAAACAAAATTATACAAAATCGATAGTAAAATTCATAATCTTTAGAGAGAACCTTCAAGACCGCGAACATATATATAATATATAGGAGTAACTGGGGTATATATATACCATAAAATATAAATGTAATGTACATTATTTTCCTAATATAATATTTAAATTTTGGCATTAAATTATGTTGTTCGTATTTTGATTATTGTTACCTATTGGTTTTCAGGACGATGACATCGCTCGGTAATTCATTATCTGGTAGATTCGTTAGAACCCACTAGATCAGACAAATGCTCATTATAATTTCGAGCTGGTTATTCCTAGTTAAACTAAGTGTCAAGGAAACTATGCATTCAATTGTTTGGATATACTAATTTATTATTTCCCAAACCGTATTTTGTATGTGGTTAGTATGTACCATTTAACAGAAACATCGTCACACGCGTAGCTATTTGCTGACGTTTGCGCAAAGGAATTGTGTGTGTTTTTAGCTCGACATGACGAACGTTAATGTGACACTGCACGTAAAGCATTGTAACGATATGGGGTATTGCAATTTAATACAATGTTACACTGAATACAAGGATCAAATAATTATACAGCACGAGCAGAAGAAGATTCGTACTAGAATCTAAAGAGCGTCGTGTTTTAATTCAAACCAGCTGGCGATGACATCGGTGTTTGTGAACAACAATCAATCGGGTGAAATCCTTTGATCTCTGGTATCAAGTATTTGAAAGTTACTTATAATAACAATCCATACTGCCGCATGAATCGGATTATAGATCATCGGAACAAGTTAACTGTTTTTTTTTTTCTTTTTCTTATAGAAAGACGCTCAGTGGACAATCGCAAAGGCAGGCGAAGTAGAAGAAGGTTACATGAGGCCAGATTTGGTTGTTCGCATTAAGCGGCTATGGGCAGATAAAGGTGTCCAGGAGTGCCTAGCACGGGCTAGAGAATATCAGTTAAATGACTCTGCTGTGTATTACCTTAACGCCATAGAACGCTTAGCCTTGCCTGACTATGTGCCAACTCAACAGGATGTCCTTAAAAGTAGAGTTAGAACCACCGGTATCGTGGAAACACATTTCGAGTTTAGAAAACTTCATTTCAAGTAAGCATTTTTTTTTTGTCAGTATGCCTTATACATGGACGCTAAATGTCATGTAATGGAAGTAATTCTCAATATTGTACGTCGATGTTTAACTGTTTATTTGACTGAATCGTGGCAAGGGGAGATATTTGAGAAATTCTCATCGATAGTGAATTTCTAACCCCCGAACCGACAAATAACATAATGTGTAGCTCTGTGTAGCTGCAGGTATTGCATCTGTTTCTTTGGGAAGCACGGGTATGTTTTAAATGCACAATAATAAAGCCTATACACTACAATTAACGGGTGTTAACTCCAAAAAAATTGTATTTTAAATAAATTAAAAATGTATTATTCGTTTCTTAAATGTATAATGTTAGTCCAAATATTTGTTGATGATGGACCAAAAAGTATTTGTTTGCCACGAACTACAAAATAATTTCCTTCAGTGGAATCAATAATGTTTATGTTCCATTTATAATGATTTCAATTTTGTACATGCGTATAAGAGTTACAAACAGGGCAACGAGGTGTAGATATTTTGAGATACTTTGATACAATCACATTACAATACATTCACTTGATAATATCTGATGATCGTATCGTCAACTGCATTGAGGGCGCTGCATTCAACTTAACACAATGTCAAATCCATTCCTTACAGAATTCATAAGACACACTTAGAAATGAACTAGCGGTATTAGTTACGTCGAAGAGAAGAATCGACCTGATTATATATATTTGGCAAATCTACCTACTATTCATTTTACAAAACTACTCATAAATGAAATAATAACAAGTATCTATCCATTTTGCAATTTGAAGTTGACTTAAAGCGGGGGGGGGGGAGTTGTCACATGCGCATGCGTCAGATGGCCATAGCGTGTCATTGCTTACAAACATTGCGTCATTGCGTCTTCACATGAGCCTTTACATTTTTAGCGTGTGTTGTTATCGTCGCTTGGGACTCAATTCCAGTGCGTGCGCAGGTGACGACCCCCCTTTAAAACCTGTATTCAGCCTAATTTCTCTAAAAACAATGTTTTTACCAATGGTTCCTGGTATAGTGGAGATAGTGTGCCATATTTTTAATTTAATGACATAGGATAAAAAAAACTACTACATCATGACGGATACCCGGCCTATTTCATAAATCTAGGCATTAACACGTGATCAAAAACTGTATGACCCCTAAAATATTTTTGGAAAAATATTTAGTAAATTAGCATTGTAATCCACAACAGAATATTTGTCGATGAACATGACAATGAGATATGAACAAACAATGTATGGTATAAACACATGTTCAGATTTACCTTCTGCTGAATGTTATTTTTATACTATATTTGACAAAGTATGCAAACTTAATCTTGTTGTAATTCTGGTATTTGTTATATAATCTTCGAACAACAATATAAATCCAGAATAATTACGCATCAGCTCCGGTTCAATAACCGCATGCCACTCATCAATGGTATATGTTTGTAAATAGCTATATAACAAGTTATAAAGTGGTTCACCTGATACGTAACATTTTTGTTGCTTGTGAAGTGTTTGAATGAATTGACTGTGTACACATGTGAGATTTTCACTTTCATCTTCTTACTGATATACCTGTTTTAAGTGTATGTATCTACACCCAATACATGACTCATTGTATTTACATACATATATACAAACTATCTTTCCTCGACATGCGTACTACAGATATTTATCTGTGGAGTATACACATATATGATTCGTATCGTTGCTACTTAGAGCTAATGGCAATAGCAATTAAGGCAACAGTGATTTTCCCTAATAGCGTTGCTATGCGAACACAGCTAGGGATGGAATCAAACAACAATAGTACGTTCTCCATGTGTCAAGGGTGTCATTTTTTAAGGTTAAACATTCTCCAGAAATTAAACTAAGAACAAGGTATTGAAAGATATTGAGGATAATATATATTTATACTAGTTATTACAATGTTGTTGTCTTATTCTGTTTCTGTATGTAAAACTCCCATTGTTTTCTGTCGCAGGATGGTTGATGTAGGGGGTCAGAGGTCGCAGCGAAAGAAATGGATTCACTGCTTTGAAGACGTTACTGCGATTATTTTCTGTGTGGCACTCAGCGAGTATGACCTAATGTTGGCTGAAGACGAAGAAATGGTGAGTATGTTGATGACCTGTTTATTGTGTTTCTTATTGTGTACTGTAATCGCAATCTTTACTGTTACACGAAAATGGCCGCCGAAATCTTGTTGGAAACAAGAGAACCACGAGACCTGTTTATGCCCCTCTCCTGTCACAGTTCGTACATTGTTCGATCGATCTATGTTCCCGTGGTATTTGCAACGATGGATACAATGATGGGAGAAAATGGAACGCTGTTTCATAGGTAAAAACAGGCCTCGCCGCTCTCTTCCGCTTAACGTGGTATCGGAGGTCGTTTGCATGTACGACTATTTTCGCTATATCCGATTTAGAGAGAACAGAATCTTGCACAAAATGGCAGTTCTTAGTTACTTGATAACAGCTCAATTCCATGGAGTTAAGCATACGAAAACGCCCAGGGGACGTAATCCAAACCAATCTAGTGTTTGACTGAAAGTCAGTTCTCTCTAGATCGAATTTCGAGAAATATCTAGTGATCTTGTTGCTTTACTGTAACCCACAGTTTGTGGCAGATTAAAGCCGAGAGAGAATGTGTGGATTTGTACAATGCTGTGCATACGCTCTCTATCAGCAGCATAAGGAGAAGGTATTGAGATATTAATTACACACGAACATATGGAATAAATATTGGGAAAAGAGGCTCTATTGGCCTTGCTAATAAAATGAAACATCAACTATTCCGGAAAAGGAAACGTTTCATCCGTGCGCTTGCATTAATCATCATGGGTTTCGTAGATTCTGCACTGACAATCACTCATATGTTAATAATATATTCATTTGAGTTGCCATGTATATACTCTCAGCATTTTTTTCATTACACATTATTATTATAAGCAGAGCACGGCCTAATACGATCAGCGGTTTATTGTAGTTTAGATACAGATTGATTACAGTGTTCGCAGCGGGGAGCCACAAGCAATCCGACTTGCCCAGTGATATAATAATATACCTGAGCATACACATGTGTGCTCGGAACCAGAAATGTACCTCAGCTGACTTCCTGCATATACAATAGCGCGGGTATCATTCAACTTCTGAGGATGCATTCAGTCTTGCCGTAACCTCGTGGTTACATACATAAATAACGATCTATTTATAGAACAGAATTACATCAATTGTGAAAAGGCTGATGCTTAACCTAGATCAGGATTTGTTCTGCGCAGTATGTATTTATCGGCAAGTACAAAAGGCCTTATCAATCAATAAAGTATCAAAATAAACTGGTGTCACCTTTTACAATTAAAACCAACACAATATGAGAAATTATGTCCATTTGGTTCAAAATTATCAACAAATTTATACATAAAAATAAGCAAAATTGTCTCACCAACATTTTGGCGGACAGAGGGTTGAGAAACTGCGTTAATGTTAGAAGGTGCAAATGTCTGGCCTCTCCGATATATTCATTTAGTTATTTCGCTATTGGTCGCTGAATGGCTGAGGATTAGTATTGGTGGGTTTGCAAATACGTATAGTACGACAATTCGAATATCCTTCATGTCGTATGCAATAAAATTAATTGAAGGCAATATATTCTGTTGGTTTAGTTGAATAATATTAGTTTTAATCCCTAGGTATTGTGACTGATTTATACAATTACCTTCGTTTATAGAATCGTATGTTCGAATCCAGGAAACTGTTCGAATCCACGCTGAACAGCGGATGGTTTGAGGAGACGTCCTTTATTTTGTTTCTCAACAAGAAGGATATATTTGAAGAGAAAATTTCTAAGTCGCCCTTAACACTATGTTTTCCTGAATATACTGGTAAATATCAAAATCATTTATGATGATTTCTATTTTATGTAAATTTATTTGTCACCGCATGCCTGCAGGTATTGCGCATGCGCACTACTATTCCTCGTACACTTTTCTCTGAATAGGTCTGTGCTTTTAATTTCGAATCAGAATCAGCCACCGCCAGCCGCCACCGGCGAAACTCTCATTGACATACAGTAACGATGTCACATTGTATTATTTTATGTCGTGATCGAATAATTGATTTAACGGGGCCCCATTTATGCGTTTGACCTAATTAGTATATTTTGTACACGGTTAGAATAATTAATATTTGCAAGTCATATTCATAATATTAGAATTGTATAACACCCATCATATACCAAGCTTGCATGTAAATAACATGTCAGTGTATGAATTCAACATTTGACAATTCTGTCATGTGCACTTATTTTCCAACCCAATACGGTGTATCCAAGGATCTTGGATCACTCCCGCCGCCTGCATACTGGTATGTGACATAAATTAATAACAACCTTGAGAAGGGAGCGAGGTCGACCAGTGGAAATAACAATATACTTTTGTAATTCATCTGATTTCAATTTCCGCAAATTGTTAACGCGTGTTTCAATAAATTGTTTGTGACATCGTATTTCTTTTTTTATCATATTCGACAACGATATTCCAATATCATATAAGAGAACGCTGGATTAGTTCGTTGGATTTTTTTTATATATTTGCAACCAATTTTTTTATGGCCTTTAGCTTTATCATCTCCTATAACGATGCTCATATTGAGGTTTCGAGTGATCGCGTTTTAATCAATATTGTGACGTAGGTCGGCGTTGCGAAGTTAAGTCACGCATGCGCATCTTCAGCAAAAACTTAATAAACACTGCGAAATCGATATTTTTTCAAACTACTATAATAGTTTATAAGATCAGAAATCGGTCAACCTTTTGTGAACAATTTGTCCAGTAGTATGATTTAATTTTGATTTTGAACTTGAATTTATTTTAGGGAGGGGAGTATGACGTTGCAATACTCTTACTTCATCAAACCTGACCATCACCAAATGCATATAGCACATTGTTATCCTAATACCGCAATACTCCCGCGTTTGTCGAATCTCACTAGATGTGTTGACGTCACGACGACGCTATGACCTTTGTTCGTCTTGATATTACGTTCTATTCTAAGTATAACGTGGTATCTCGCAATGAACGCTCTATAATGATCCACATCGTATCGTTTTCTATTAATTTTCTATGTCACGGAGGATCTCCCACGCCAACAATATATCAGTGTTTTGCCAAAAACAATGACACCAATAACAACCAATAATAACAAAACAATGTTCCACAGTTGTTTGCTTCGCTATGCGGGGGTCCAGTTTTCAGAAATGATTTTGAAGCGCATTGTCATCAGATCTTTAATGATAGTCCAGCTTCAATGGTACCACTTCCCGCTTAATTCATTAAATACAACGTACGAGACAATAGCGCAATCGTTTTTCATACTTTTATTGATTATGTGTGCTGATTGTATGAATACTTGTCACGAACGCGCACCAAAGATGCTAGAGTACGAAGCGTATGAAATGGCAGTAAATAACAAAACAGACAGAGCGTGTGGAGAGCCTGTGTTTTACCGCGTCTACAGACGCACAGGCTCACTTGCAACGCACACGCTGTTTTATCCTCGGCTGTAATACATACAGTCTATTGATTTATCTCGTTTGCATCTCTTTTCCACCACAGGACCTAACACATACGACGAGGCCGGTGAGTACATCCAATCGAAGTTTGAAGAGTGCAACTTGAAGCCGGCACGGGAAATATACTCACACTTTACGTGCGCAACGGACACAAAAAATATAGAACACGTATTTAACGATGTTACTGATATCATTATTAGGAGCTCCTTGAAGGCTTGCCATTTGATACAATAAGGTTTTCGAGTGGGTAATTTGTTTCACGCTACATATTATCGAGTTGTGGTTGAAATTCCATAAAGTGAGATGAAAAAAGCAAAAAAATCGACTACTATCGTATATATTTATTTATATATAGCATCAAAAACATGTTCACGTGACATATTGTTATACTACAACGAAGTCGTGGTTTACACGTGTAACCAATATCTGGATGACCCTTAATACGCTGCTGTTGGTATTTTAATGAACTCAGTTTTACTTTTATTTTGTTGCATTATCATCCTTATTTAATATTATTTGTTACCGCACGAGCAAGACGTGATTTGTGTGGAATACAATTGCATCACCGCCCTGTGCCGTTCATAGCAGTTTTGAACTTAACTTACACATGTATTGCTTCGATTAGTCAGAAGCGTGGGGATATGCAGCATAGAGAGTATTGGTCGGTAGTATACACGCCTTAAATCAGTCGTTTGTTGAACGTCTGCGAAGCAATTTAGTCACGTGAAGTAGGAACTGATTATGACGAATTTATCCTGCTCTACGGACTCGGACATACAGAAAATATGATTAACGATACTTTCCTTTCTTTCAAATGAACAGCTCGAACATAACATCAATGTGTTATATTCAACAGTGTCGTCTGTAGATACATTTGACGTCTCCAGACAATATATGCCAGACAGAATCATTCACCATCTAGCGGCAATTGGTCATAAACAGCATATTATCCTTTTCAAATGAATCACCCAATATACATAAACATATGGTTGGACGATGAAAACATTTCTTTGACCGCATGCCTCATTCCCACCTAATTGTCCGTCATGCATTCATCAATACTACCCGGTAATCTGACAATATATTTGTGAATGCGCTAGATATGCCCTTACTGTGAATTAATTTACAACGACAAGAATTGTTCTGTCTAGGCATACGTTATATATACTACTCTACTACTAGATTATATTTGTTTTCTTTTTAATTGCCAATGATAATGTATAATATTTTGTGCTGACTAGGCTTTTATCAGCACTTATATAATGTCATGAAAACCTGAAACGTGAAGAGAAATATCTCAATTGCAATACAGGTTATATATTTGCGACTTTTAAGTGTACGTTTTGATCTAAACTGGTGAATTGTTTTAAGTAACTTGAATTACAGCAGCTGCGAGTTGTTTCTCTATTTGACACTCATATCACTGTTACCAATATGAATATCTACTGTGGCACATTGTGTTCGATGATAAACGTTACAATTCAGCGTGGTACGTACGTCGTCTTACGACATATTTCCGATATAGTGTTTTTCGTAAGCCCGGACATCGAGTGCGTAACATTTTTATTTATTATCAACAATATCGATTGGTATTTCATCGCAGAAACTTTACTAAATTACTGTTGTCTTGTCTACATGGATATCGCTAATTTGTTTCACGTATATTTCGCCCCCATTATGAAAATAGGGGGAGTATTCAATACAAAACAGTCGAGATGCAACTGTGGACGTCACCCGTTTTTTTGTGTGTTTTTTTTGTGATTGCACCGTACATTGTTATTGCGACGGTAATCCATTGATTCACGCGTGACAGTCTTATACTTTCTATGTGTCATTTAATGAAAGAATGGAAACTGAGAGATTTTCCTTAAAATTGTGTATACATTATCAGTGTATTGCATAACACAAGTACCAGGGTTATTTTTAGTCTGATATGTACCCCTGTACGTCTTCATTATTGGCTTTGTGAAATGCGGATTCAGTCACATGGCCATGCATTTTTTTTGATAATAAAAAAGACAGCCATTGTCACTCGCACTACTTTATTTCTTGGTATTTCTTATTACAATTCATTCTCTAAATATAAAGAATTGAAATCCTGAAAAGCCCTAATCATCAGATAATGCTGGTACTCGTAGGTGTATAAATAATTCTTTCAATTCTGTTTATTTAACCTCGATTAACCAAACGTCGCGGATTTTGCCTGAAAAAGTTATTGAAAAGAATTCATCGATATATTATAATTACAATAAATATATGTATGATCATTTGTAATAATTGTTCACCGTAAAAATCAATATATTGATCACAATGCCTGACACATCTTTAAAATAATGTTACTTCATCGCAATAAATACGTTTTTGTTTACGGTAACTACAAAAATAAGACACGGTATATCTTGGTTATGTATTGCAACATAATGTAACAGCTACAATGGAGTGCAAATTTCAAATTGTTTTAAATTGTTCTGTGTGTGCAAACTGCACAATGTACATCAACGGCAATCGTTAATACCAATCTATCATCCCTCTGGAATTGTGCGGAATGATGAAGTATCTCTAACAGAAAATCAATTATAAAACAATCAGCAACGAACGCTGTAATTTCCAAACGCTATAATTTTTACGTAATATGTCGGATGATATTGGAACGAAGCTATCAATTTATATGTCAATTATTTGTCAACTTTGTTGAATTATGGTGTTTGAGAGTAAATATCTGAACATTTGTTGACAGTAATGATAAATTAACGGAGATGAAAATATCGTCATAGTAACATTCTCGTTAGTCACCCGACATTTGAAATAATGGAAGAAGAAGAGCAATTATATGTGATTATGATGGACTGTTAGTGCCAGATCGGCGAATAAATGGTCGGCGTACAGTTGAAATGTGAGCGAATGACATGTCTAGTATTGCATTCATTACTTTACTCGAAAGGGTGGTGGCCGTCGTACAACGCGCTTTCAAATTTGAGGTAAAACAATAGTGTATTTTACACGTATCGTATGCGTCGCTATGAGTTCTATATCAAACAGGACACTGTGCGACGACCACTAGCCTTTAGTATGTGATTAATATGAGGATACCACAAAGTTTTCATATAGATAGTACAGTAATACGGGTGTATAAGTTGCGGTATCCACATAAAACAATCTTAATAATACAACTCTTTTAGGAAAATTAATAGATTTTTTCATATTTCGAGTTAGCAATGTTAATAAAGGACTGCTGGATTTATGGCCAGTGTTGGTCAAACTGAAAGAAGTATGACTAAATACTTGTGGGAAAAAATAAAACGACGATACATACATTATAACGCAAGATTCAAACTCGTCACCAAGGCAAGCGCATCACCACTGCAGACATGCGTGTTCCTCATCACGTGACAGTCCTGAAAGAACATTTCTAAATGGAGTGTAATGAGCACGGCCTCACAGGGACTAATTAGAAATGCACAAGCAAATCCTGGACAAATAACATATATTATTCATGATCTACTATGCACCCTTAACAGGCAGTACTGGAACAAACCTGTTCACCAGAAGAAACAATATATGTTCATTTTGGAACCATTAACCAAGTTAGTTTTTCTTAGAATTATCAGTTGGCGTAGAAGACGGTAAGTGTTGCTGAATGGAGACAATTCTACGAGCCTATTACGTAATATACGTAACAGGTAAACAGTGTATATATACATTAACCAATTGGTAAAGCATTTACATTGTGTAATTGTCTTCTGGAATACAATTCTTTTGAGATATTTCTAGTCTAAGGAAAATTGTAATTTTGTTTTGATATCAAACATTCTATGTTTGGTTCATGAATATGAGGTTGTTACGAGGATACTGCAAAGTATGCAATGCAAAGTATGCTCGTCGGTCGATACTCCAACTGTTCTGTCTGAGTGCATACTTTGCAGTATCCTCTTAATAACCTAATTAATATACATCTATTCCTCCCAGGAGTACATCATAGGAATGCCGAACAGGTTTAGCGAACTTTTTTGTGTGGGGTCCGGTCAAAACCTGGGGCAGCCATGTTTGTTTTTATTATTTGAGGAAACTAACGCACGTAATCGTTCCATATTTGGAATTCGCGTTTCAGTGCAATACCGCAAAATTACGGCACACTGTAACCTTATGGCGTGTATAATAATATACATTAATTAATTCTTCGACTTATGTACAACTGATTAGGTTTATTTACTGAAATTCAAGCTTTTCAAGTCAATTGTGGATATCATGGCCATAACATCTTTAAACAATTCTGCTCTAGGATATAACCTGCCTAAAATTTTGCAATGACTTCGACGTGGTTGTATTGTTGTCTTGAATACCGTCCTCTGCACAACAGATTCGCGGGGAAAACACATAAAAAATCATTTGAAAACATTATTATCAGAGAAAAATTCTCATCGTATTAGGAATAACTTCTGTACATTGAACATTGATAACACCTTGCATATTAAATTTCACTGTTACTGCACTTATGACAGGTGCGTGATGTTTACGCACGTAACATTAACTGCCAATACAGATAATATAAAACTGCTTATTATCGAAAATCGATACATTTGTCGCTACATTAATTCTACAAATTCAAAAGTATGTCTGATGACCATGGTAACGTGTGTTGGTAATATTAAATAAGTTGTTGTTATTTTAGTTGCTTACAAAGTCATTTCATGAAACATTTTTAGTCCGGTATTTTAGAATGAAATATAGCATATATAGTGTTTGCTTTCAAGTGCTTCCAAATAAATCATTTTTAGTTACTCTCATGTATCTTATACATCAGCATTTTGTGAAACCTTTCTAGTCTGGTGCTTTAGGTTGAAACATTTCATGTGTGTGTGCTTTCTAAAGTGCCTCAAATTGAACAGTTTCCGAGAATAATGTTTTAATTACACTTGCAAATAATGTTCACTCGAAACTAAAACAACATTTAAACCTGAATTTAGCATACTAAAATGCTATGGTGTCACCTGCATCACAACTGCCACACTACGTAATCGATGACAGGTTATAATTATAGATAAGGACATGTAAAAGTACATACAATTAATTACACGACTGATACTGTTTCTGAATTTGATAAACTCTAAATATCATATAACACATAATTCCATGAATACTAATGACATGGCCATTCATTATGCATTTGATTGCGTCACCTTCTTTGTACGCTTAGATAGGCAAGTGACATTTATACTGTAATGTTGAAAGGTAAT